TGAAAAAAAAATTTTCTTTCCATTTTCACATCACATCATCATCATCATCATTACATGGATGTTAGGAAGGTATAAACTATAAATGTTAAAAAGTTATAAATATCACACACTCAAAACCCAAAACACACACACAAAGAGAGAGACAATGCATCCACACGCGTCTTGTTTAACAATGGATTTTTTTATTTTCAAAAAAACGACCAAACTAAAAAATCAAAAAAATAAAAAACTATTTTTACTCCTCCCTTATTCGGGTGTGTCTATAGTTTCAAAAAAAAGTTTCATGTTTTTCAATTATGATTTTTTTTTTTGTTGAAAAAATTCTGTTGTTTTCTTTCGAATTCGAAAAGTTTTCAGGAAAATCAATTTTTCCTGAAAACTTTCTTCATTCATTCATCTATTGTTATGGCAAAAGAAAATTTATATATTTATTTTTTTCACGGCTGTCTCGAAAATATTTTGAAGAATCTAGAATTCTATTCTGTTGTTGTTGTTGTTGTTGTTAAGTTTTAGTTTTAGAAATGACAAGTTTCTTTTATTTTATTTTTATTTTTATTCTTTGGCCATAACCATCATCATCGACTAACATTATCGTTTTCTTCTGGTCGAAAGATTTTTGTTCGTTCGTTCGTTCGTTCGTCAGTCATTCATTCATTTTTTTTTACTCTCGTCAGATTCAAATAAATGTTAAAGCCAAGAAAAAAACTGTAAAAGAAATGAACCAAAGAATTTCTTTCTTTTTTTTTCTTTCTTTCGTTTTTCTCGGTTGTGTCAAAACATTAAATAATGAAAAAAAATCGAAATTAATGGAAGTTGAAAATGATGATGACTGACTGACTGACTAACTGACCAGTCGGCTGGCTAGCTTGACTTGAATCATTGAAAAATACTGGAATAACTTTTTTTTTATATTTTATTTTTGGAGTAACTTGAATTTCGAAAAGCTTTTGGGCAAAAAAACGAAAAAATGCCAGTCATTTTCGAAGAAAAAATAGAAAGAAAAAACTATTATAGTCAGTGATTCTGGAAGCCAATTCTCTTCAAAAAAAAAACATCCAAACAACAACGAAAACAACAGCAAAAGTAGTTTAGATTTATGAATGAATATAAATTTGATGTGTATGGTGTTTGTGGAAATAGTTTTGTTCATTTGAAATATAGTCAAGAATAGATAAGAAAAATGTATGTTTGTTTGTAGATTTGTAAAAAAAATATACATTAAAACATCTAATGCAAGTTATATATCCAAATGTGTTATCCGTTGCCCGTAAGGCTTGTTGAATTTTTTTGGTTTGTCGTAGATTTATTATCATCGCGAATTCCCAATATCAAAAAAAAATAACGAAACACGAGCATAGTTAGTTAGTTGGTTAGTTTTTTTTTCCACCCTCGCTCATAAATTTTAGCTCTACACATACATTTTATTATTATTATCATCATCATTATTATTATCGTTATTACCAAAGGAGTCATTAAAAAAAATAAAAATAAACGAACGATGAAAAATTTCCATCCACCCACGCTATTACAATATTTAACACATGGTATTGATGTGTTGGAAATGGTGATTATTTTTACAACAAAAAAAAAAAAAAAGAATCCGAATGCGAAAAAAAATTGAATCTAAAAAAACAAAACAAAATCCTAAAACTATCTTGAAAACTAAAACTAAAGTTTTTTTAGTTTTCATTCCACAAACACCCTCCTGTTGTTATTGTGTAGTGGGAGTTTTTCTTCATTCTTTGTTCATTGATACATTCATTCATTCCAATGTTAATTTGGTCATTTATTTTGATTATCATCGTTATTATTAAAAAAGCTTTAGTCAAGTTTTTTTTTGTTTTGGCTTTCATTTTTTTTTCTCTATGGATCCACTCTCTGTATAAAACAAAACAAAAAAAAAATTACGATGAAAATCGACCAAACACAATAAATGAAAAAAATTATAACAACTAAGAAATTTTTTTACAAACAAACACAAGGAATAAATGGGATAGAGAAACAAAACAAAAAAATTCTGATGCTGTGAATTAGAAATAAACAACCAACCAAAACTGAAATGATAATGATAACAGCAGCAGCAGCAGCAGCTTCAGATTCAGTTTCAGAAACTAGAAAAACAAACAAAAAACGAAAAAAAAAACATCAAATTTATCATTATTATTATGGACAAGATATTTTTTTGTTGGTGTGTTTGTATGTGTGTTTAACGCTAAAATAATAAAAGATTTTAGTTCTTTTAGAACAATGAAATAAATATAAAAAAAATCAATATATGTTTCAGGCCTTCATCTTTTTTTCCCCTCTTCAAAAAACAAAAAACTATTGATGATGAAATTAATGTTTTTCTGGTTGTTTTCTATTCGGAAAAAAAATTCTCATCAATTTTCTTCTACTTTTTTTTTAATTTAAGCTTTGCCAAAAAGAATTTTTTTCGATTTTTTTTTTTGGAAATTCAAACAAAATTGACCATGAAAAAGTTTTTAAAAACGGCTATTTTAACTTGATCCTTAGGATCAATGATGAAGCGAGGGTGTTTTCCGTTTTTTTCCAAACAACACAATCCATGATGAATAATGTCAAGGACGATTTGGGTAACAGAAAAAAAAAGAAGAAAGAAAAATTTGGAATATGCAGACCACTGTAGTCAAAATACATTTTGTCCACACAATGGATACCCAACAAATGTTTGACTTTAAACAAAACAACACAACAAAAAAAACCGCCAACCACCTACGCATTGTCGTGTAAAATGGCACATGGCCATCAAAATGAAAATCCATCGATCCACATTTTCATTCTCTATAACGAAAAAAAAATTCGGTTTGAAATAAAAATATATAACGGTCATTATTATTATTATTATGACCAAAAAAAAAAATTTTGCCAAACCACCTACACCACCTACAATGAAGCATATTACGGTCATCACTATTTCGATAACCAATGATGGTCATCATCACAAAAAAAAAACACACCAAAAGTCGTTATATAATAATAGCATCGGTTCTAAAACATCAGCTGCTTGGCTGACTCACCTCGATTTTTCTTATTTTTTTTGAAATTTTCATTTTTTTTGGTCGAGTCCAGTTCCAAAAAAAATTTTCCAAAAAATAAATTTACTTGAAAAGTTTTCCATCATCATCATTATTTAAATCGATTAATTTTATATATTGGCCGTTTGGTCGTTCCACTACCATCAACAATCACATTACAAAAAAAAAGTATGAAATTTGAAAATTTTTGTTGTTGTCCGTACATGTCATTAGACCGAAAAATCAAAAAAATCCAAAAAATGATTTATATCATTTTCAATTTGAAAATGCAGTCACACACACATCACACACACATAAAGTGAATTGAAAATAAAATTATTATTATTATTTTTTTTTGAAAAGCGTAGGAGGATTGGTCGAAACGAACGAACGAACGACCGATCGATTGATGGATGAAACGGTCGTTTGGTCGTTCGTTTGGTCGTTTGAATTGGACATCTGCTACCGAATGATGATGATGATGCCCGTTGTTGTTCGGTCATCATCATCGATTGTCATCACCAAAATCGATGTTATCAGTGAAAATTATTGTTTTTTTCCATTCAATAAAATTTTCAATATTTCACAGACATTTGATGAAATTTGATCCAACAAACGAATGGCAAAAAAGACAATCTCAAATTTTACAGAGAGAAAAAACAATTTTTTGAACAAACAAACAAAATTGAATTAAATTTACTTGAAAAAAAAGAATGGTACACAGAATATGATACATGTGAACATATCACCAACCATCCATCCACCCACGCACTACTTGATTATCATCATCATTATTATTATGGCCAATTTTCAATGATAACAACAAACAAAAAAAAACCAGAAACAGACAGACGGGAAATGTTTCATTTTTTTCATTCATTCTTTCTAACCAAAACAATGATAAACTAAATACAGGATACAGGAAATGATCCATCACCAATGATGATCATCATCATCATCATAATGATTAAACGGATGTGTAGATAATATATAAGGCTGAATAAATCCAGAAATAAAAAAGTAAATTCAATTTGTTCATCATCATCATCATCACTGTGTACAGTTAATTGATTTGATTGAAGAAGAAGAAGAAGAAGAAGAAGAATATTTCTTCGGTAACAGTTTCCAAAACAAACACATCAATCAATCAAATTTAATTTAATTTTCATTTTTTTTAACGTTCATTTGATGTTGATTCTGTTTCGGTTTGTTTGTCTGTTTTTTTTCGATTTGAATTCATTATGCAATCAATCAAAATCAATCAATCAATCAATTGATTATCTAACCAAGTGATAAAAGACAAAAACAAGCATACATACACACACAAACAGACAGAATAGAATAGCTAATTGATTGATGAATTTCAAATCGATCAATTACTTGTTTATGATGCAAAACTTTAAATAAAAAAAATTTAAATTCATTTAAATTGAAGCTAACACCATCTAGTGCTGAGCAAATTGAGTTGTAAATTATGGGACCAAATTAGCCAAAAATACTTTGAATGTTTTTTTTTTTTGAATTTATCCTTGAAAATTCTTGAAAAATAATCTGATTGAAAACAAAATGATTAAAACAAAAGATGATGATGATTAATCAGAAGAAAAAAATCGAATAATGGAACTTATTAAAAATTGCATCACAAATCGACCATCCATAGATTAATTAAATTTTGATGATGATGATTTTTTTTTCCCAAATGAACAATGTAATCAAGTCAAATCAAGTGTGTAATCACGAATGATGATGATAATAATGAATGTTTTTTCACCTGATAATGAAATTCATTCATTCATTCATTCTATACATAAAAACAAAAATCATAAAAATGAAGGTGAAATTCTCATTAAAAAAAATCTTTTTGATGAAATTCAATGATGAAGAATTCATTAATTGATGGTTTTGTCATTATTCAACCCGATCAATTGTTTGCCTTGATTGATTGAATGAAATTGACATCACTTATCTTGTTTTTTTTATTATTAAAAATCTTTATCTTCTGTTTGGTGACAGAAAAAAAATGTCTTCCAAATTTACTGGTTACATTTTTGTTGCATCAATTTTGTTGATGCTAATCATGATGTCGATGGTTGAAGTTCAAGGTAATAAAAACTGTAATTTGATTTTTGTTATCTTTTCTCATTCATTTTGAAACGAAAAATCAACTTAGCTCAAGAAACATTTGAACCGGATTCGGAACCCGTACAACCACCTCAACCATCAAATCGTCGTCGTTATGATCGTTTTAATCAATGGATGAAAGTGATTAATGATTTTTTTACCGAAGGAAATTGGCTAAATGGTGGTCCATCGAATCTAATCGAATATATAACACGAACATTGGCCAAATTATTGGATGTATTGATGCATCGTCGTGGTCCACCAGTTACGGCACCAGTTGATATACCATCATCATCATCATCATCATCACCATCAAATCCAACAGACGATTATGATGATACATTTGAATATAAAGTACGTGATTCAAATGCTTTACAACGACAACGTCAACCATCATTGGATCGTTATCGTAATCAAAAAACATTGAATCTAGAAGATATAATTCGTATGATACCAACAAATCAATTAAAATTTGATCGTCGTCGTCGTCGTCGTTAATTCAATTGAATTTATGCTTTTCATTTTCTTTAATTGAGCATTTTATTTTCAAAAAAAATAAGGGTTAAAGTAAATTTTCAAAATTTAAGGGAAAAAAAATGAATTTTGAATTAAAATTTTCTTTTTTCAATTCATACCATTTCATTATATAATTATGCAATAAAGGAATGTTTGAGTGGATATGAAAAATATTATAATGGTGAAAGTCAGTAAAAAGAAAAAATTTAAAAAAAAATACACAATGTGGATGTGATGATACGACTAGGTTCACAAATAATTTCATTTCAAGCTTACAGAAAAAAATTAAAAAGAAAAAAAAAATAAAGCTCAAAAATAAATAATGAAAAATGTTGATGATAATATTAATGTTAATGTTGATAAATATTTTGATAATTGTTGGCAGCCATCAATATTGTTCATCTGATATGGTGCAGCAATACCATCACTTAATTTGAATTCAATCTATATATTTGATAAAAATTAATTTAGCTAATGAAATAAACAGATAATTTAATTAAATTATTTTACCTGTTGAGACATTTTACCATCACCACCATTACTAAATGCAAGTACACGAAGTTTATATACTTTTCCAGGTATTAGATCACTAATAATGGCACGTAAATCACTACCATCTAATGGTTTAATTATTTCACGTGCACGTGAAATTGGTTGATCACTATCCCAATATCGTACCTTATAACCACTGATTGGTTCTTCAGCATTTGTTAATGAACTAATACCACGCCATGTTACCAATACTGAATGTGAATCTATGGCCGTAACATTTACGGATGTTGGCGGTTGTTGTGGTGCAGCTTTAAATGTTCGTGCTAAGAATGGTTCACTTTCGGGACCAGATCCAGCTTCATTGTATGCCATTACTGCAATATAATATTCTGTATCTGGCATTAAACCGACAATCAATCCCCATGGATCGGAACCACGTTTTAATAATGTAAGTGAATCATATTGTGGATCTTGATTCATTTTCCAATATTTTATTCGATGTCCAATCAAACGACCACGCATCTTTTCACGGCTTGTATCCAAACGTGACCATGTTACATTCAATGCTGTGGAATTATATGCTAATGCATTTACACCGGCCGGTGCAATCTGTGGCATACTTTCAGCCGAATAAACTATTGTTGGTTCACTGATTACGGTGCCGGCACCTACTGAATTCATTGCCTGAACTCTAACCAAATATGCTTGATAATAATTTTCTTCACCAACATTCACTGTATACATATTAATGTTGCCTAAATGTGTCAGATTCTTGTCAATATAAGGTTGTTGTTCATAATAGGAAGAATTTGGTCTATGTAAATGAAATGAAATGAATATAAAATCATTCTTTTTTCAAATGTTTAATCTTACTTGTAAAAAATTCGATACCAGATGTCAGGAGCGTTCCAATCTTTTGGTGGTAATGGATCCCAAGTAATAGTTAATGTACCGGCTTTACCACCACCACCGCCTACATTGCTTGGAGCCTTAAATGGCACTGCTTTTTCTGTATTATATGATGGACTTGGTTCAGATGGTGGTCCCATGCCAATAACGTTCATTGCTGAAACACGAAATCGATATGTTGACCAAGGTGAAAGAACATCACGAAGATAAAGCATTGTACGACCACTTTCATGAATTTTTGTATATGGATTAAGTAATTCGGTTGAATTAGCCAACCATTGCCAACCACTATCATGATTAGTAATGCCTTCGATTTGATAGCCAACAATTTGTCGACCATTATCGGATCCATCACTCCATTGCAGTCGAGCTGATGTTGCCGTAATATCATCTGCTAATAATGCACCAGGCGCTCCAGGATGAGCATATAATTGAATTTTTGTTGTTGCCGATGTTAAACCAACTGTCGTTTGTACTATACATTCATATTCGCCAGTTTCAGCCAGTGTAAGATTATTGATTCGAAGATTTCCATCAATACCAGCTATTATTTGAGATAAAACAAATTTCGATTGATTAAACAAGAATCATGATTTCAAAAGCTTACCCATTGAATATTGAGGCATTCTATCGAAATCAATTCGAAGTCCATTGTGTTGCCATTTATATGCTAAATCCAATTGTGGATCAGTAATGGCCATACATGGTAGCTCAATTGATTGACCAATTTTTAGATCATAAACCGGATTCGGTCGAATATATAGTTTGGGTCGATTAAATACACGTAAAATACCACGTGTTCTATCGGTTCCTAACGAATTTCGTGCAACACAAGTATATTCGCCCATATCAGTACGATGTACAGGTGAAATGGTTAGAAAACCATTCGGTAATACACGTTTTCGATCGTCCATCAAAATACGATTGACTGGTTTGGGTATTCAATAAAGAGAAAAGTTAAAGTTAAAACAAAAATATAAAGACAAATGCATTATTATCATCATTACAGTCTTTTTGCCATTCAAATGACGGTATTGGTAATGATTCTGGTACACAAGGTATGGTAATGTTTCCACCTTCGGCTGCATACATTTCGTTAGGCATCGGATGTTTACGAAATGATGGTGCCATCTGTACGATACGAAGTTGACCACTTGAAAATGCTGTACCAAGTTCATTTGTAGCTTGACATTGATACATTCCTTCATCACGTTCAGGTATTAAACCATGTATAAGTAACATATTTCCACGAACTTCATAACGATTTCGATCTTCTTCGGAAAAATATGTCATCTTATTACGATCCGATATTTCGACACCATTTTTATACCATGTATAACTAACCGATGGTATACCAAATGCAGCACATTCCCATGTTAATACGGATAAATCACGTTCAACAACTTTATTACCAATATGTTGTAATATTATTGGCAATGATTGTATCGATAATTGTACACTTTTCGATATAACATCTTTACCCGATGTTGCTGTACAAACATATTCACCACTATCTTCAACTTTAGCTTGTGGTATTATTAATACACGATTAAAACTTGCTAGATAATGTCCTTCGGGCATTTGTGTAGTTAAACCTTCACGTGTCCAATTATAATATGGTACAGGATAACCATATGCCATACATTCTAATCGTACTTCAGAACCGGCTAATTTAATTTCGGGAAATATTTTTGGAAAATGATTTGGAAACAAAAGTTTTTGTGATGAAGATGCTGAATCAACAATTAATGGAAAAAATGGACCAGTACGACCACTAGATGCAATCGATGATTTTACATTACAAGAATAATTGGCACGATCAATCTTTTCTAATGATGAAAAATAAAGATTTCCATCTCTTGATACGAATGTACGACGATCATCTTCGATGATATATTCAAATGATTCACGTGACCAATGATAACTGACAGCTGAAAAAAAACATAATGTTATCCAAAATTAAGATTCAATCTTATGAAAAAAGCTTATAATTACAGATATGATGTTTTGGAGGATCACATGATATTGATTTTCCCCAATATTCTCGACCATAATCGGGTGAACGTTTTTTCGTAAATTCTCCAATATAACCGAATGTTAATTGAACTGTTTGTGATATGATTGAACCAAAACGATTTTCAGCAATACAATGATATTTACCACGATCACGATCAGTTTGTGGATTATCAATAATCAATATACCATCGGTTTGTGTATAACGACGATCAGATAATGGATCAATAGGATTTGAACGTATCTGATTTTCAATATATTCTTCTTTATACCATTTATATGTTGGTGTTGGATAACCATCGGCAACACATTTTAATGTTGCATAATTTAATTGACTACGACCACTAACATCGAATATAACATCTTTTGGTTCATGTACAAATCGTGGACCACGTGGAATTTTTGCCGAATCAATAACATTTACACCATAATCGATATTACGTTCAATTGCATTGGCAAAATTAACATCTTCTTTACGTAGTTTACAGATATAGGCATTATATTCATTACCGTTTGTACGTAGTAAACCCCAACGATTTAATGATTGTGAAAAATTATATACAGCATTTTTACCCTGTTGACGTTGATTATTCCAAATATCCAATGAATTTGATTGCTGTGATTGTTGTTGTTGTTGTTGTTGTTGATCATCATAGACATTATTTTGCTGTATTGGTAACCATAATGCAGCAATAACTGAATAATAACGTTGATCACGATGATGTGTCATCATTGAATTAATTGATGATGATTGTTGATCATTATTATTAATATTATTATTAATATTATTGGCAGCAAATATTGAGCTTGAACCAGAATCACTAAGACGATTAGCTGGTACATTCCAACGCCATGCATTATTATTAGTATCAATTGCTGATGTATACCAGCTCATATGTAATGGATCATTTTGTCTTAACCAATCGGTTATAAATTGATGTTCATCAGTCGATAATACTGATAATAGATAGGCATTATAAATAAAACAACGTTCATTAGCTTCTTCATAATTTTTTGTTGGTGAACGTATAAATTGATAACAATTATTACGAAATTCAATCCAATCTTTTGGACATTTAAATTCATATGCTTTTGTTAAATTTAATATCAATATTAATAATAGAATTTTAAAAAAATTTGATAATAATGATGATGTATGATGGATTGAAATGTTTGTGTTGGCCATTTTAAATGATTCTAAAATTTGATGATTAAAATTAAAAAAATATTGAAAAATATTTCTACATTAAAAAACAAATGAAACTTACCAGAAACAGGTTCAGGTTTAAAATGAATAAATGAATCTTTCTGGATGTTGTTGTTGTTCAATGCATCAATCAAATCAATCAATCGGATACATTTATCAAATTTTCAATCAATAAACATTGTGACAAATTTGTTTTATTATTGACAATAACCATATGTGGCGAAAAAATGAGAAAAAAGAATAGACAAAGAAAATGAATAGGTAAAAATTCAAATATGAAAATTATTTTTGAAAAGAATGACAAAATAGATGAATAAATATTGTTGAGATGATAAAGGTGCGGTCAGTTGAAGAAAAATATCAATGAAAAAAAAATGATGACAATTGATACTTTCATACAATCATCATCATCATGATAGTCGACCAGCCAAAACAATCAAGACAATCAATTTTTTTTAAATGATAATGATGATAAGAAATGATAGAAGATGTTCATTTTGTTGTTGAATAAAATGCAAAAAAAAGGAAATTGATAATTTACATAGAAAAAAAACAAATTTGTTTTCTCAATACAAACAAACAAACAAACCGACAGAAGAAAAAAAATTCAAAACAAACATTATCCCTAAAAACTTTTCTGACCGGTTGTTATGGTATCAGAAATGTATTAGAAAAGCGGTATTGTTTTTTTTTGTTTGTTGGATCTGGTTGAATGAATCCTAACAACAATAATAATAATGATGATGATACAATTCGAGATTCATATAATGAACCAGGATATCATTTAAATAAAAAAAAAATAAATAATCACCATAAACTTTAACACAAACACACACAAGGCGAATGAACCTTTCAACAACGGCAAAACAATTTAACCGAAATTTATCCACAACAAAAAAAACCGGTCATTCAATGTCCACATTTAATTAGAAATCATAATTTTTCATAAGAAAAAAAAAATTACCTTGAAATGAATTTTGGTTGATGAATCATTGAATTTTTTTCTTTCATAAAAAAATCAATTAAAGGATGCAACAATTTGTAAATACATTTGAGAAAATTTTTTCATTTTAATTTTATTGATGATTAGGATGATGATTCAATGAAATGTTGAAATATTATTTATTTAATGTCTAAAAACAACAAAACTATAAAATTTAAATTACAAAAAATTCATTCCGAATTTTAATTTTAGTTGTTTTTTTTGATGATGATGATGAGCCAATTTTCTTACCTATGATAATAATTCAATCATACATTTACATATACAAAATAACCACGACAACAACAACAATAATAATATTGAGAACCACGAAACCACGAAAATATATTACAAATGATCGTTAACGGACATTCTTCATCACCATCAACAACGAATAAAAAAATGGTAGTGGTTGTTTGAACAAGGGAACAACAGGTTTTTTCAAATAATTTTCCTCAAGCCATTTTTTTTGTATTTTTTCTCATTAAGGTGTGCACTTTATAAGCACAAATACAACAACAACAACAGCAACAAGATTGACATTCACAGGTATTATCATTTTTTTTTTTTTGTTCAAAAAAAAAACACTTGCTTGTTTCTCTCAATAGATGTAGATTCTGTTTGTGTCTGTAGGTACAAAGGTCAAATCCACACCCGAAAAAAAATATGAAATTAAAATTGAAATTTCAATTTTTCTTTAAATAAAAATTAGTGGTTACACAATGTGTGTGTGTGCGTGTGTACAGTATACATGTGTTACATAATATGAATCATCATCATGTTGGATCATCGTGGATCATCATAGGCTGGCCCCTTTTTTGTGGACTTAGTTCACACAAAGTGTGGATCCTAATGTGTATATTTTGCCCTATAATGGTCCCGGGTATTTTTTTTTCCGAAAAAAAATGTGATAAAAAACAACATTTGGTATATTTTGGATAGGGAAACAAAACAACAAAGTCGATAATGTGTGTATGTTGTAACATGATTTGTGTGGAAAAAAAAGAGGATTGATAAACAGCTTTGATGATGATGATGATGATTAAATGTCCACTATATGTGGTGGTTATATAATGACTTTGATTTTTGATTCTTTTTTTGCGATTTGATGGACGATGTTTTCAATTCAGATGACTTGTTTGGATGTTGAATGTTGAATGGATGATATTTTCGTAGAAGAAAAAGAAATCCAGATCAGATTACCCCCTCAAACAAAAAAAATGACCAGGTTGACCAAATTGATAACCCATTTTATTTTTTTTTATTCCCAAATCGATCAATCTTCATCTTTTCGATCAGAATTTTTGGTCAGAAAAAAATCACTGGAAAAAAAATTTTTCTCTCAAAATCATTAATCATAGAAAAATTAGAAAGTAGAAATTGAAATGTAAAAAAAATCATTGTTTATTAACAAAATTACCATTGGATTTGTTGTTGTTTGTTTGTTTGTTTGTTTGTTTTTCTAGGTCAGCAACAAAGTCCAGATTTTTTTTGTTTGTTATTGTTCCATCTGTGTGTGTTTGTGGGAGTATAAGAAAAACAAAACAAAAAAATTCAGGATCATAATTCAATTCAAATCCAGAGATCCAATCAATCAAAAAAAAAAAAGAAAACCTAGAATGAAATGAAAATTTTGAAAGATTATTAAAAAGTTTGGAACAAACAATAGACTTTTGTTGTTGTTGTTGTTGTTGTTGACGACTTGATAATAATGTTGTTGTTGTTGTTGTTTATTTCCAAAGTAAATTTTTCACATTTTTTTTGTTGTTTTGTTTGAATATCGATCAAGAGCCCAGATTTGATCAAATCAAAAAAAAAGAAAGAGAGAGATTATCACGCGTACACCATACTGATGATGATGATGGTGGTACACACGTGGGATTTTTTTTTGTTGTTGCCTATTTTATTAAGCGTAGGAGTGAGATTTTTTGTTTTTTGGATGGAAATGAATTTTGCTTGTTTGTTTGTTTGTTGCCCTTGATGGTCACTATGGTCCATCTCTTATCTTTCAAATGCTGTTGTTGTTGTAATGATGAAATTTTGTTTGTCGCATGTTTCAACGAAAAAAAAGCCATTATAATCATCAACAAAATTACACATAAGCAAAACGAAAATTTTTGATAATATTTATTGATGCGTGAGAATTTTGACAAATCTAAAGAGTCATATTATTATTACTGATGAATCTTATTTCAATTCATTAGAAATTTATTTGTTGTGTAGGTGTTTAAAAAAATTATCTTAATTCTTTTGTTTGTTTGTTTGTTTGTTTCTGAAGTGGCTAAAGTGGAATATTTAAAAAAGAAAATCAGATATTTGGGTGACCATCATTCAATTCAATGGATGGATAATCTATCTGTTAGTTGATGGTCATCATATCCTTTCATATTGTATTTTTTTTTTTTTTGGTTTTTTTTTTTATACCAGATGTTGTTCTACATTTTTTTTTTTTTTTTT